GGAAAATTGGTTTTAATTCATCCAACATTCTCTCGTTCTTCTCTTCTTCGTACTACCTGCCTGTCTCGCTTTTGAAAAAAGGAAAGGAGAGGAAGAGAGAAAAGTACTGATTCGTTTCGATGTTTATTTTCGAATTGTATATCTAGAGTATTTACTGAAGGGTGGATGATATTGGGTTGGTTAAGAAATGATTTATTGCTGCTATGAGGACAGGGGTTTGGCGCTTGGAAGATCGATTTGATTTGATGGATTGTATATAAACCGAATGCTTTGCACGTCTCCGTCCCTTTTGGGAGGTCCTAGAGTGATAAATCTGCTACGCTATAGCCCGCTAGACATAAATCAATTCAACAACAACAACAGCTGGCAGCTGTGCTGTATTTTTTTACAATCACGTATCCGTTGTGGATAGATACATACAATAGCCGAGATTGCTGCTGCTGATAAGTTTTGATATATTAGATTACGATACCTCTGCATTATTTTAATTCGCACGCTACCGCAGCTCGCTAAAGCATTATCAACCCCTATCCCCGTTCCAATCCTCATTTCTATCCAATCCTCTTCTCCATCCCTATTACCCCTTTCCATTTCCCCCTCCATCTGCTTCTCGCTCCACCGCCACTCACTCCCACCCCCGAGCTTACTAACCAACCTACTGCATAACAACCAGCTTCGTCCCCTTCCGCTTCTGCTCTACCATGCCCTGCACCCACGCCTCGACCTCCTCACACGCCTTGCGTGGGTCCTTCTTCCGCTTGAGCAGGAAGCCCTGGATCTCCGCCGGGCTGAACATGTCGTTGGGCACCTGGCGCGCGAAACGCTCTGCGATAAAGCTGAGCTCCTTCTCCGAGATAGCGGCATCTTTCTCCTCACCGCCTGTGTCTCGTGCGCCCGCCGAAGAAGTCACCGGCGCGTGAGGTGGTGAGAGGGGCGGTTGGGCGTTGATAGGTGTTGGTGGCGGTGTTTGCTCGCCTGGTGCCGGGCCAGCTGCTGGCTTGGGCTGTAAGACTGTGGGTGCAGAATGCGAGGTGGTTACGGTCGTAGTAGTAGTGGTGGTGGGATTCGAAGAGATGATAATTTTGGTGCGTAGGAGGTCGTTTGTATACATGCGTTCAAAGAGCTCTTTGATTTGCGACTGGGTGGCGTTCGAGAAGGCAACTTGGTGGTCGACGCGGCCCGGCCGGATGAGCGCTTCGTCCAATTTTTCTGGGTGGTTGGTCGTCATTACTAGGACGCGGCCTTCGTGGGAGGCGACGCCTAGGGTGTGTCAGTATTGGTATACATTCTGAAGCTTGGGAGCGGGTTGGGCGTGAAGCGGCGGTATAAAAAAAGAGACCAGAAAAATGCCAAGAAAAAGAGGCAAAACAACACTCGAATACAATGCTAGGACAAGACGTACCATCAATAATGTTCAACAGCCCACTCAACGAAATTCCCTTCTTCTTCTCCTCCTCGCTCAACTGGTTGGCCTTCTTTAGCGCCTTGGTCAGATTGGCCACATTCCAATCCTCCCCCTCTCTGCCGCCCGCCTTCCCATCCCCATTTATATCCCGACCATCACTCTCCTCCTCGCTCTCCCTCACCAATCCGGCCGTGTCGATGTCCTCCAGCAGGACAATACACCTAGCTGGCAAGTTCGTAAACAGCATGCCCAGCTCCTCCTCCGTCAGCGTCGGTTCCAGAAGCGAGACAACGTGGATGTCCAGTCCGAAAACGCCGGCGAGCGCAAAGGTCAGCGAGGTCTTGCCTGTACCAGGAGGGCCATAAAATAAGTAGCCTCTTCGATAAGGTATACCGCGATTCGCGTACCTTTGGTTCTCCAAGTCAGTAAGCCCATTTGGGAAATTTCGGGGATGGGTGAGCATGTCTCAGGAGCCACCACTCCTATACTCCCAAGAGAACCTCTAGGGAATAAAAGACTCCGAGAGCTTGACTTACCAGCGCGCGGTAGCTGGGTTGAGGTACTCATTGATATCGCTCAGCACATCGAACTTCCGCTCCTCGTCCAAGACCACTGTCTTCATCGGCCGACACGGGCGCTCCGCAATCTTGACCCAGCTGCCCCTGCCGCCCCACCTGCGCATTTCCTTGGGAGCAGGTCGCTTGATGACAGTCTTTGCGTTGTGGCCCATGTGGTAGTGCGCCTTGGCATGTTGAATCAGTCTCTTGATCGGCTCTGTCGACCGCCCATAACAAGTCAGCGTCAATACCTCCTTATCCTTGAACGTGCCCGCTCCCCCGCCCATATCATCAAACATGGCTACTTCCTTCCTCCTCAACTGGAAATAGCTGCCCTGGAACCAGAAGTTGTGGCTTCCAAGGGCTGGCGTGAACCTGGGCTGGGATTTCGCTTCCTGGTTAGAGAAGTTGAGCCACTTGATATTGCCGTCTGCATCGAAAGTCGACTCTTCTTTCTCCGTCTCTTCGCTGTCCAGTTCCCAAGCTGACTGGGAGGGGGTTTCGGCCATGAGACGCCGTGATGAGGAGACCTTGTACTGGTGGGCAAGGAAGACGATCAGGTGACTGTGGATCTCGTCTGTGCTAGAGACGGTGATCTCGGACATGTAGTTAGCACTGACAACGGAGTAGGCGGCGGTCCATAGAGAGCGGAAGATCCGAGCTAAGAAGAAGAGGGCGAGGCCAAGAGAGACGAGGATAGTGACATCGAAGCCGAAGGAGTAGAGGAGGAACTTGTGGATAGGACCATAGCCGGGGACGAAGGTCTCGAGGATGGTTGTCGGAGAGAATGCAGGTATAGAATCTCCTGTAGAGTTGTCTCCTGCCTGCGAAAAGGCAGACGAGAGAATGGTGTTGAGGGCCATTTTGGTCTAATGGTGTAGGTAGCTATTTAACTGGCCTACGAGGGAGGCGTTTGTAAGTAGTGTTATTGACCTGACCCGTTTGTCGTCCTCGTCGTTGGACTTTTCCTCTTCCTGTAGACAAGTGAGGATAGTGAGGGTGGGTGAGGTTATTCACATTCACGTTAGCCTTGTTGGAAAGGTTAAGTGAAGCAGCCAGACAACAAGCTTTACAGCTGGCTGGCTGTTTGTAAAGAAAGAGAAAGAGAAAGAGAGGGTTGCAGTCACAGCAAAGCAGCCAGCACGGTGCTGGCTATGTTCTGTGTCTTGTATGCAGCCACGATGCTGGGACCAATCCGGTCGGCTGCGTGGTTTTGGTGTGTATGACGGGAGAGTTTGGGTTGGAATTGGGGATGAGGATGAGGATAATGATGAAGCTGGAGTAGCAGAAAGAGAAGAAGATGGAGATGGAGAAGTTGAAGTAGAAGTGAAAGAAGAAGAGACGATGAAGAGACGATGAAGAAATGGAGATGGGGATATGTTTCTACTAGCAACTGGCAACTAGCAACTGGCAACTAGTCACTAGTAACCACTTACTAATTAGGAAGTTACTACTTACAACAGTTAGAGGCTAGAAAGAACGCTGATCTATCTCCATCCGACCAACGACAACGATCTACGTACGATTCATTGCATACAAGGGGCGAAGGAGGTGAGCGGAGGTGAGACCGTGAAGCGAGACAGGTGGATGGGCGGATGACGGACGGAATACATGGTCATGGTATGGTATAGTATAATGTAGAATAGATTACTGGATTGTAGGGGAAATTCAAAATAGCATTATCAATATGCAAACATGCATATAAGACTATGATATAGTCTGGGTAGGACAGTCAAGGTTGAGGAGTTGCGTGGAGGCGGGATGGTAGTGAAGTCTGAACGGACAAACCATATCCATGCACCACGGTGCCACTGGGGGGCATCCACGACGACAACGACAACGACGACGACGACGTCAACAACTACCAATCGAAATGCAGAAAGGCAGTTGCCCCGAAGATTTGGCCTGCCTTCTCTTCTCGCCGCAATTTGGTACTGGATACTCGTAATCCTGATCCTGATCCTGATCCTCAGCCTCAGCCTCAGCCTCGTCCCTCACCACATATCAGTCTCTCGACGTCAACCCACTTTTCAGCCTGTACCTTCGCATCAACACCGCAGGCGTTTCGTCAATTCTCTATCAACACCGCAGTACCGCATCACCGTACCAGACCTCATCTTTCGAATCAAAGCATTCACAGGCGAATATCACTCTCCACCACGAACCCGAAGCAATCATCAACTGTGACACCGCAGCCCCCTCCACGCGCCGGCCAGCCACATACGTCTCACCACGAGGCATTCCCCAGCTTATCTGCGACCCCAAATACCTGGTATACCAACTACCGATCGACCGACCAACCTACGAACGCGCTCTCTTACAGCCCAATCCACTACGGAGCAGCGCAGCACAGCATCAACCAACAACACACTGTATTATACGCCTTACCTGCAGGCGATCGCGAAACCACGCCTGTTATAACCCGTACTGACGGAGGAGGCTCCGTTCCCGCCAACGGTGGTACAGAAGTCTGGGTTTGACCTGGGAGTAAAGGTGGTTGAGGTTGAGCCGCAAGACACGGCGGCAAGAGGGAGACGACACATCGGCAGCTCCCTAGGCCTAAAGCTAAGGCTACAGAACGAAGGCGGACCGACAAAATGATGTCCTCTACAAACGAAGAGGACCCTTTCCTTCAAGTCCAAGCGTAGCTTCCCCTTCCAATCCCCCTTCACCCTACCGAAAGCCTCTGCCCTCCCATCACTTTTGCCAGATAGAAGCCCCCCAGCTAACACCTTCACCCAGCGACGTCCTTCAAGCCCTCTCGACCACCCGGCCCCTCTTCACCTCCTACCTACGCATCCGCGCCCTACCCACCTCCTCCAGCACGCCCTCCCCGGAGCTCCTCTCCGCGCAATCGGAGCTCAAAGCCGCGCTTGCCTCCCTCGCCGAGGATCTCGCAGACCTCGTCGAGAGTGTGCAAGCGGTGCAGAGCGACCCGTACCGCTTCGGCCTCGAGATTGAGGAGGTCGCGCGGCGGAAGCGGCTTGTGGACGAGGTGGGCGGCGAGGTAGAGGACATGCGGGAGGAGCTGGCCAAGACGCCCAACACCGCGGGTAATTTCTCAAATGAGCATCCGGGTAGTGACAGCAAGAGGAGAGGGGGAGGCAGGGCCGGGTCCAGGTCTAGGTCCAGATCCAGGCCGCCGTCGCCGGACTACAACGCGGCGTTCGAGCAGCAGCAGCAGCTGGCCATGCTGGCGGAGCAGGACCGAGACCTCGACGGTGTGTTCCGCACGGTGGGAAACCTGCGGCAGCAGGCGGACCACATGGGGCGGGAGCTAGAGGAGCAAGCCGAGATGCTGTCGGTGGTAGACGGGCTGGCGGATCGCGTGGGGGGCAGGCTGCAGACGGGCATGAAGCGGATGGGCGAGGTGGTAAGGGCGAACGAGGATGGGCTGAGCAGTTGCTGCATCGCGGTGCTGATCTTTGTTCTGATTCTCCTGCTGGTGCTTGTCCTTATCTTGTGAGGGAAGTTGAGAAGGAGGGTAGAAGATGGGAAGACAGACATTGAAGCTCCAAGACTATATAGAAAGAAGGGACAAGTGAAAAAAAAATACCTCGACGAAACCTTCCAAACACCTATCCGTTTATGACGTTTGCTCCTCTATATCAAATACTGGGTCTATATCATAATCACTTAATTGACGGGCATAGGCGTTTCCATCTCCATTTCCACTGCCGGTCTCTGAAAAGAAAAAAAAATAGCCTCCCCCTCCAACAAAAACCGGGTTCCCTCGCCTCCCTCGCTTAAATAGGCCAGTCTGGTAGGTAGGTATACAGAATAACAATCGAACAGTCCCCCCCCCCTTAGAAAAGAAAAACATGTCCAAATAAATAATATATAACCAGTAGAGTAAGCTATGTATATATATATTCCTTCTCGCAGCTTACCCACTTGTCCAGTTCTCTTCTCACATTGTGTATATATATGTATATATCCATACAAAATACCTTTTGAATATAATTTAACTGACTGCACAGCATAGCTGTCTCACACAACTAGCTTGGGCGGAGCTTAAGGCATGCATTTAATATTCGATTCTTCAATGACATATAATCCTGACGCCCAGTACTCCCCAAAAAAAGGGTAAAATCAAACACCGCCCATATCTACATCCCCATCTCCATCCCCATCTCCATCATCGCTCAACAGTTCGCTCACGAGCGAATCCCGCGTGTGGCTGCTCCTCTCCCGGTTCTGGACAGGATTCGCTATTATAGTGCCCTCACCACCTTCATCGCTCTCATCTTCCTCGCCGTCCGCCTCCTGTTCAACTTTCGTTGACTTCTCCCCTTCTCCTTCTCCTTCCCCTTCCCTCTCATCATTTTTACCCTCCATACTCCCTGCGACCTTAATTTGCTCCTCCTGCCCAACACTCATCGCAGCACTCGCTACCCTACTCCCCCCACGAACACTCCCCGAACTCCCCGCACTCCCTCTGAAATTCAGCGTCAGCTGCGCCTGCAGCAACTCCTCATCGTCCTCCTTGAGCGCGTTCACAATCTTGCCAAGCGAGACATGGATCTTGAAAAGTGCGTTGCGGCCTGTCGCATCCGCGACGAGCTTCTCGTCGATGGCGGTCGAGACCTCTGCGTAAAGCGCGCGGAGAAGGAGCGGGGTCGAGGCGGGCGAGATGTGTAGTTTGGCGAGGAGAGGGGCGAAAGTTTTCTTCTCTTCTCCTGTACACAAGGTGTCATTAGCATCAAATAGATTCCTGAACTAAAACACGAGATAGGATGAAAAGAAAATGAAGTGATGAGACTTACGACTAGCACCACTCTCCAGCCTCTCTAGTAACGACCGTGCAAATTCCAAATGCACGTCCCCGTTCACAGCCTTCTTCGCGCTCTCTTCCAGCGTCATCTGGCTACCCGGCACATAACACTTTCGTGGATCCGTCCAGTCGATCAGGTGCGCGCCGATGGTACTCAGACTCACCATGTCCGTCTCTGCCTCACCGTCATCGTCGAGCGTCTCCTGGATTTCAAAGAGCTTGTGCAGGGCGTCGAGAGAGACTTTCTGCATGCGCTCCTGGTTCTCTTTTCGGGAGAAGCTGTAGACGGGGAGGAAGTAGGAGAGGGTCTGGCGCACGCCTTGGTTATGCGCTGTGCTGGGGTCAAAGTACAAGACTATGAGCGTCTTAAGCAAGTCGTCGATAGCAGGAGAAGCGTCGGAAATGACGCGGCCGAGCATGAGTTTTGCGACGGCCATAGTGGCTGCTGCTTGCACCTCGGGAGTCTTGTTGCCTGATTTCAAGGCTTTCAGGTATACCTTGAGGAGAGTAGGGTTACTGTCCAGAAGGTGGGCGCCGTGCTGATTGAGGATATCGGTCAGGATCTGGAGGGCGGTGATTTGTAGCGCAGCGTGCCCTTTACTGAAAAAGTGCATAAAGAGAGTCAGATTTTCCTCTGCGAGGGATTTGTCAAGCAAGGAGCAAAGACCTAGACAGAGGAGGCCACGTTCGCGGATAGGGGCTTCGTGGCTGCGGACTGCGGGGACGACGAGGTTGTTGAGCATTGCTACTAGGTCGACGTTCTGTTGGAGGTTACCCTCCACGTTCTCGAGCATACATTGCACGATGTGGAGGCATTTCATATTGACCATGATCTCACGGATAGCTTTCTCTTCGTTTTCTTCCTCGGTCTCTGGAGAGGCTTTTCTGGATTTGGTGGGTGTGCCTTCGCCGCTGATCTCGGATTTTGCGGAATGGAAGCTTTCATCAGCTTCATCGGATGCTGGCTCATCCATGATCGTGTCGTGGACATCAGCGACAGCTTCCAAGACAATGCTGACGAACTCTCGCTCTCCGGCAGCATCACCGGCACAGATGCCTCGTAGCACTTCGACAGTGAGTTTGGTGACCTCTTCTGGAAGATCTGGGATGGAGAGCGATTGACGGAGAAGCGCGAACATCTTTCTTCGCCCAACTTCGTCAGAGTAATCAAGAGTTTTGGCAATATGTAAGAGCTGCTCAACAATGAATTCTTGCTCGACTGTGTCCTCCTCGTCTTCATCCTCTTCGTTTGGCTCATAGCCGTTGACTCGCTTAAGAGCCTCGACCAAAACAGTGATGTATCGTTCGAGGTAAAATGCAAGCTTCGTGACTTCAGGCATCTTCTCCTCAATTAGAGATTCGAATTTCCCATTATCTTCATGCCTGCAAAAGTCATTGAAACTTCGGGCCATGAAGACGGCTTCAGCACTCAAGGTGTCCCAGAAGTTGTCATCGAACGTGACTTCATCCCGGTAATCTGGTCGTCCTTCCCAGAAGCCCTTCATGGCCTCCAATGCAACTCCGTTTTCGACGCCCGAGTTCACCACATCGATACGCTCGAGCAATTCCAGAAGTCCCTCAAAGTCGACAGGCTTGGCCTCTACATTAGCTGGATCAGCGCCCTCTTCGAGCTCAACAGTACTAGCACAGTCCTCGATCCAGCGTTCTCGGAACAGCTTTCCGGCTGCCTTTCGCACATTCTCATCTCTATCTCTGAGACCCCACCGCAAGAGCTTCTCACGCATAGACAACGACAAATGCCTGAAATCGCCTAAGGAAGGCAGAAGTCTCGAGTAAAGGGCTCGTCGTGTAGCCGGATCCTGGTCCCGTGCTCTCTCTAGCAAGAATGGCAGCGTATTTGGCAGAATCGGAAGATTGACCAAAAGCGACCTCCTCACATCAGCACTCGGGTCATTCTGCAGCACATCCAGCAGCCGCTCTAACAATCCCGACCCTGACTCATCATCATCGCTATCCGCCGCCTCCCCTTCAACTTCGTTCCCCGCCAGCCGGCCCAGCCCCAGCACAGCCTGCACCCTAACCATGGCCTCCTTGTCGTGAATCCGCTTTGATAATCCATGCCTCAGCAACTGAAACAGATCATCGTCAATCGCTTCCAGACTGTTGATTACATGCGAAATCAGCTGCGTGCTCCTATACCGCACAAACTTCTCCTTGGCCGTCAGCAGCGGCAGCACGGCATTCATCAAGTGCGTTATGAGTCTCGTACTCGGCGTCTCCATCATAGCGTGGTCGTCGTCGCCCTCCGTGAACAGCTCGTTGTCCTTCTCGCTCGCATACCGCAGAAACGAGCCGATGAAGCGGATCGCACGCTCGCCCACGCTTTCGCTTTTCTTGACCGGCATGACGCGGAGCACGCATCGCGTGAGCTCCGCTGTGAACTGTTCTTCGTCAAAGTCCTCGGCGCCGGTCTTTTTCCTACTGCTGCTGCTGGCCGTTGGCTCGTAGCAGCAGGCTTCCTGGATCTTGCGCAGGTTAATGACGAGCTTGCGGTGGCCAGCAGTGGTGCGCTGCGCGTCTCGGAAGATGGAGGAGATTTGCGTGCGGAGTTCATTCTCAGGGGATTCGGGGGTTTCGATGTTAGGGGTGGAGATGCGCGATGCGGTAGATGCGCGGGAGTTGAGGGTTTGGGCGGAGGCCTTATGGGAGACACCTGATGCGCGGGATGTTCGCGAGGAGGAGACTCGAGACGGCATCTTTCACATATGTCTTCAGATAGAGGTCGGTTCGGAGTCGTCGTCGCTATGTCTGTCGATTTTGTTGTCGTTGATATTATTATTTTGGTTGTTGTCGTGAAATCGTGTAAACATTAGGGAGTTGGATGTGGTGGTTGCAATCTTACCAGAGCCGACGCGATTACGGAAAAAGTCCATACATCAACAGCCGCGATTGTTGGCCGGTCAACGAAGCTCAGCTCGCATTGCTCATCATCACTTATCGATGGCGCCATAACCGGTTTTCAACAATTGCCTCGGCCACCATTCACCGTCCCCCCCTTCCTGGCGAAGGGCGGCCCAGGCGTTATTCAACATTCGCTCCAAGCGTAGAGAAAAGATTTCTCTCCGCCAGCAATCGACAATCCAATATGGCTCTCCGACGTAGCGTACACACATATGCGACGCTGACCAAGGCGATGGGTGGAACTGCATCGCATACAAACTCCTACGGCATCAGCGTCTCCAAAGCGCAAGGCATCGTGAAAGGTTTAACAGGAGGTCCGATTTCCCCTCCTCTCCTCCCTATTACCCAGATATATGTATATACATCATGTTAACATCTATCCCCTCAGCACAATTCAAAAGCTAACCGCCGCCTAGCTGTCGGAAATACCCCATTGATCCGACTGAACAAGATCTCCAACGATACCGGCTGCGAAGTCCTCGGCAAAGCCGAATTTATGAACCCCGGCGGCTCAGTCAAGGATCGTGCCGCCCTCTACGTGGTGCAGGACGCCGAAGAAAAAGGGCTGCTGCAGCCTGGTGGCACCGTCGTCGAAGGCACCGCTGGCAATACCGGCATCGGGCTCGCGCACTTGTGCCGGTCCAAAGGCTACAAGCTGGTCATCTACATGCCGAACACGCAGTCGCAGGGCAAGATCGACCTGCTGCGCCTGCTGGGCGCTGAGGTCTACCCCGTGCCGGCCGTGGCGTTCGAGGATCCCGAGAACTATAACCACCAGGCGAAGCGGCATGCCGAGCGGCTGGAAAACGCTGTGTGGACGAACCAGTTCGATAATGTGGCGAATCGCCTCGCCCATTTCGAGACCACGGGTCCCGAGATCTGGGCCCAGACACAGGGCACCGTGACGGCCTTCACGTGTGCGACGGGCACCGGCGGCACGCTGGCCGGCATCACAGGCTACCTGAAGGATGTGAGTGAGGGCAGCGTGAAGTGCTACCTAGCGGATCCGCCGGGCAGTGTACTGCACACGTATATCAGCTCGGGCGGCACGCTGACGGAGCGGTCTGGGAGCAGCATCACCGAGGGCATTGGGCAGGGGAGAGTGACGGATAATCTGAAAGGGGAGATTGGCATTCTGGATGGGAGCATGACGATCAGTGACGAGAAGAGCATCGAGATGGTGTACCGGTGTTTGGATGAGGAGGGCTTGTATCTGGGCGCGAGCTCGTGCTTGAATGTTGCGGCGGCGAAGGAGCTGGCCGAGAAGCTGGGGAAGGGCAACACGGTCGTGACAATTCTGTGTGACGGCGCGCACCGGTATGCGGATCGGCTGTTTTCGAAGAAGTGGTTGCTGGAGAAGAAGTTAATGGGCGCGATACCGAGTCATCTGGAGAAGTATATTGTACTTCCCTAAGATATTTTTACTGATTGTACAAAATGTCTTCTTCGTTCAACGCTTCTCCTTTCTGTCTGTGGCAACTCAGAGTCGGCTTATAGGGAGCTTTTTGAAGATATCCGCAGGTCTGAAACAATGACAAGTATAAGCCCGACGAGAACAACTTGAAGGGTACGAATAATGCATATTAAGGAGCATAGTAGAGTTCCCTGAGCTGTTGCACACGTTGTACGCAAAGTATCTCTTTATTCAATACTTCAATTTACTGTCTGTGGAAGCTTCGAGACGGGTACAGCTTGATAGGTACGGTCAAGGCATATCAAGAAGCTATGTTCCATGAGCTTTTCTAAACATTGTACAAAAGATTTTGCGGTTTTCCGTTCCTTTGCTGTCCCTGTGCTGATTAGGTTGAAAGAGAAATCGGCAAAAGGCGAAACTGTAGGACAGGCATATCATGCTCACCGGGGCTATTTTACATATTGTACAAATATGCCACCTATTCATACATTGCTGGTTGTCTCCTCGGATGACCCTGACCGGAGGGCCTTTGACCCCGGCCCAAGGAGTTTTTCGTAAACCTCAACAGAATGTGAGGGCTTTCCTTTCGTTTCTTGCTCTGCAACCAGCTGGTCTCTTACGGCCAACACCAACGGTTCCAGCTCTTCGTACTTCGCTTTCAGGCCAGCCCCAACCTTAGACTCCGCATCGAGCAAAGGCAGCGCAACCTTTATGCCGTGCAAGACCATAGCGTGAGTAGACAACCAGAACGTCGGATGAGACGTATGAACCTTCTGGGTTGTGTCCTTCCCAGCTTCCTTCCCAACCCCCTTCCCAACCTCCTGAAACCCCTTTGGCGCCCCCAACAACTCCTTCGCGTACCGCTCCACTTTCCCACCCTCATCCTTCCCGGTCTGCGTCGCCCGTACAGCGGCAAGCTGTAATAGAATCCCCGGAACTTCAGGCTGGTCCTTCGATGTGCCAAAGTATTCGGGAATATCCCGCTTCGGCATCACCTTATGCTTCGGCTCCTCCATCATGTCTCTCACCATCTCGGCCCACGCTAGCGCTTTCTTCGTCTCTTGCGCGTCCCAATCCGCCGCGACTGCCTTCTGCGCCATCCAGTATAGCACCTGAATGGCCATCTCGAGATGCTGCAGCGTCAGCCCCGTAAACTCTGCCCGCCGCAGACACTCTAGCACTGTGTCCTGCCGGCCCGCCTTGCCAGCCTTACCCACAACTGCCAGCCGCACCTGCGGGCCGTGTTGGCAGCCGGCGTTCTTCAAGCCGCCCAGGAGGTTCGGGAGATTGTCCCAGTCCCGCTTCTCTTTCATGAGCCTCAAGGCATTGAGCACGGCGGTTCGTCTGGACGGCACGTCCCGCGTGAGCTCCAGGTGACGCAGGCGGAAATCCTCGCCAGCGATGTTGGCGATTGCGGGCTCAACCTCCAGGGACTTTGCGTGTTTGGGACTGAATATGAGTTTGCGCTGCGACTTGTTAACGTGCGCGGGGAGGAAGATGCGTTCGCGGATGCGGGTGAGCAGGTCTTGGAGCTCGGGGGAGGAGACTTCTGTGAAGGATGGGATGGCACCTGGATAATCATTAGAAAAGATTGTTAATTTAGGTGAATTGGAGATGTTGTTACCATGTCTTTGCCGTATTGTAGAGCTTGAGAAAGTCCTCTGTGGAAATGACAGTCCTCTTCCAGTAAATCTCACAGCGCATTCGCTGCACCGCAGGGCCTGACCCATTCCTAATGCTCTACTATTCATTTTACCCAGCAACGCAAGCTCTAATCGAGCTTGATGCACTCGGGTTGGGGCGGTAAAGAGGGTTGAGGTAGAGTCGGATATCGAGAACTGTATTGTTCAGCCTTGAGGTCTTCACTAGAAAAATAATCTTAGGTGAAGTCGCTCGGACCAATCACAGCCTAGTGAGAAATTCCGCCTCGTCAACACCAAGAGCTTCGTCAACATCCCAACTCCACGTTCCCTACCATCATAGCCATGCCGACGGCAACACCGACCTTGCGGCCCTTGAGCTGCTGGAAATCCCTCTTACGGCTCCCGAGACAGCAGAAGGCATTAACCACGTCGAGGTCCTTAACTACTTACCGCAAACCCGTGCCCAAAGTGCCCGGAGCCCCTCACGGTACATAACTATACAAACACAGATCCTTCCGCTCCTCACACCTTTCTCGATAATTACCTACCAATTGGCAATTTGCTAACTAAATTTCAATAGTCAACAAACCCATTACCATCTATCCCCCCATCAAATCCTTTGCCACCACCTGCCCCGAACCCATCAAAACCCTCACCAAGACGCAAACCTCACTCCTCGACCCGACCGGCGCGCGCGCCCACCTCTTCTCGCGCTCCAACCCGGAAGCCGCCAAGGTGGGTGACATCCTGCTCGTACGGCTGCGGACCGGTGACCCGTTCGCGGGCGTCTGCATCAACATCCGGCGGCGCGGCATCGACACGGGCATCCTGCTGCGCAACGAGCTGACGCGCGTCGGCGTCGAGATGTGGTACAAGATCTTCAGCCCGAACGTCGAGGGCGTGGAGGTTGTGCAGAGGCGGGAGAAGAGAGCGCGTAGAGCGCGGCTGACGTATATGCGCAAGAAGAAGCATGATATGGGCAGTGTGCAGAATATTGTGCTGGCTTATCAGAGGAGTCGGGGGTTGTTGAGGGGGAGCGGGAGGGGCGAGGATAAGAAGAAGGGAGGGAAGAAGAAGAATGTTAGGGGGAGGAAGTAGGGAGGGTGTTTTATGAGAGAGAAGAGAAAGAGGGCGTGTATTGCGCCAATCACATATCTGGCGCTCGGGGAATGGGATGAGAGACTTGTACACCATTTGTTCTATCATAAGCCTTGGTCGGCCTTGCTTCTGAAAACTTGCCTTTGCCCTTGTCATATGTCTGGCTTTTACTCTCTGGAGAGAGAAAGAGAGAGAGAGAGAGAGAGAGAGAGAGAGAGAGAGAGCATCGGGGCAGAGCGCTTCTACAAATGCCGACATCTGCAACTTCCAAAAGAACTAGGGCGGCTCCAGCCAACTTAGACCTGGACATGAAAGCAAGGTCGAGGTCCTGGTCGCGGGGGAGCTCCCCCACGACTCCGTTGCCTGTCAAGCCCAAATTATCTTTCATACTGCGATACTGACAATCGATCTTGAGCTTTTAAGTGTCTCACCTATAGCTCTTCTCTTCCAAGGAAATTATGTTTGGAGGTAAAGCTTGGCTCGCTTAGCGCGACGGATCGGGTTCGCTTATTTGTTATATAAGTAGGTAGAAAAGGGAGCAGAGAGGGCCCTTTTTGTAAATCGTTGGCACTCCTTCCTTTTCATATACCGCCAGGGTTCTTTCTGCTGGCATTTGGGGAATGAGATAGAGGTATGTTAATATGAGCCGTCCGTTCTTTATATCGTAAAAAGATCACACCACGCTCAGAAGGCCCATGGGCGAATCGCCTACGTGAGCCTATGTACTTCCTTCCCGGAGCCCAAGCATAGCCACAGCCCAGGGAGTTAGTTCACAGAGCCACTTCCGCCTAAGTCGGCACTTTGCCTAAAGCCATGCAAAAGCTCAAACGGGAAAGAGTAACGAGTACCAGAAAGCTACCAGCGGCCCAGCCCCAACCTTCGGCGTCCTATGGCTCCCACGCCTTCTTGCCAGGATGTATGAAACAGGAAGCAGGAAGCAGCACCTCAAGCGGCCGTCTCGTGGGCTCGAGCTTCCTTCGTCGTTATGTCCAGGCATATTTACAAATAGATCCTAGACGGATCTGAGAAAAACTTACCTAAGAGAGGTAGGCTAGTGCAAGAAAGAGATAAACGGAATAATCAAAACAACGCATATTAATCTTATGAGGCTTGACCAACTCCTCTCTGTAATGAGCAGTGTGCAAGGAAGCGATGCCGGTGTCCATGTCTCTCGGTCACAGTTTGCCTTTTGCGCGCTGCTTTCAGCCTTAGCTGTAAAAAGTTCCAAATCTCTCTCTCTCGTAGTCAGTCTACCAAGGATAAGCCGCAACCTTCTACCTCCCAAAAACCCCTTAACACAACCTCAAATACCGCAACCGATAGATAGGTATATCATATACCAAACCCAAAAACAAATACAAACACACCTATCAAAACTCAAAACAACAGAACCAATTCTAAAAGCCACGAAAAGCAAATCAAAGAAGAAGAAGAAGGGAAAAAGAAGAAGGGAAAGAAAATAATCGTCAGTCCCCATCCTTTACTTCGTACACCCTTCTATATATCCACCACCTCCAGAAGAGAAGTAGTCAACCAGAAAGGCTAAGTCGTACAACCATAGCCAACCACAGCCTAGTGCCGATCTTGCTAAATGAAAACCCCAACCCTTTCTTTCTTAAAGCTGTCCAAGCGGACCGAAAGGGAGGCAAGCCTAAGAGATAAAAAGAAAAAGAAAAAGGGAAAGGAACGTCCATAGAATAGAATAACAGATAAACGAACGAAGAGGTTGAAGAATTAGGAACTCGTACGATAGACGCGATATATATTATTTATGAATGGTATAGAGAGAGAGAGATTATATATATATATATATATATATACCAGTCAGTCAGTGAAAATTCCAATGCCAATCAATAATGATGCCACGCCTAGGCACCGACCGATCCAAACGGAGACCAAACCCGACCAGACGCCTCGCTTACTACTTGTATTTCATTCCTTCCTACTTTCCTACCTTCCTACAACTTCACCCATACCACTCCACTACTAAATTACTCTCCGCTTCTTCGAAGAGTATAGTGGACTTGACTTGACTGTTATTGCCTGCTCTGCCTCACGATTATGCCACTGCTCAAACATGCGCCCCTTCTACTCTATCAGATATTCGTGCTCCTCATCGGCCTGCCCCCATTTCCCGTTCCCGTCCTCGCCAGCATCGGCCTCGACTCTTGCGCGCTATGTGTATCATGAGCAGCGGCACCACCGACGCCAGGAACACCCCTCAGATTCACACTCTGCATCCGGCTCACGATATTACTACCTAGCGCATCAACCGCGCCCCTAGGGCTACTCAAGCTAGGCCCGCTGGGCGCTACGGCTTCGACTCTAAAAAGTTTGATGGCTGTGCCGTTCCAGACACCTACTGTACCCTTGGCCACCTGCATCTCACTTGTGAATACGAAGGACCAGAGGAGCGATTCGTACCAGCCGAGGGAGAGGGGCGTCCACTCGAAGTACTGGATGCGGATGGGTGAGGGGTCGATGTTTGTGATTTTGGCGGTTTGCAGGGCATGCAGAATGGTGGTGGATGGTGTGTCGGTTGAGGAGCGGGTAGTTGGGGGCAGGAGGGGTGAAAGCTGGGAAATTAGAGTTAGGATTGTGTGGAGCGGGAGTTCGGTGAGCCAGGAGTCAATCCAGGTTGCTGTTGGCTCGAAGGCGCCGTGCATGGAGAAGGTAGCTGTGGAGTAGCTGGCGAGGCTTGTGATGCTGTTTTGGCGCGAAAAGTTTGGCATACCGGCTGGGACTGTTATTGAGAATTTCGGTGTAGAATAACGGCTGGCTTACCTGGCATTTTGCCTCTGGCCTTTTCAGACATGCCTCGTAGTTGAGTGGGCACTGCATCGTCTATACTCGATGAGATGGACGAGGCGCGTGATGGCTGCTCAGTCGGGGTAGATTCTGCTGGCGTCGAACGGATGTCATCATCTGTGTATTCGTCCTCATCGTCGCCGATAGCGAATGTCCCATCTTCGGGAACATCCCTGAGAGATGGGGCTCGAGGCTGGCCAATAGTCGGGCTTCGGAGACTGTCCACTGATCCTCTCCTGCTCTCGGCCAGATCATTCGGATCTGCTCGCTCCTTTCGACGTCGATTCCGGCGTTCGATTTCTTCTTGGCCACTTTCAAGTGTGAACGAACGAAGAGCTGTAGGTAGTCAGCAACTGTGAACAATCTCTAGTGGGAAGTCATGTACCCTCGAATCTCTTCTTGTTCCTCAACACAGCATAGATAAAGTTGGGATTCTCTGAACGCGATGTTAGTACATGAGCGATGACACACGTAAAGTTTTCCCGAATGAGCAGATCCTTACTTCGAGACTGAAAGCCCTGTGGCGTCATGTTGATCTCTACCAACAGAGAAAAAACTCAGTCCAAGCTTCACTACGCATTGAGTGTTGAAGGCCAGCTATCTCGCAGCGCTCCTTGAGCGACCGAAATATCCATACGCTGAAGAGATGGAGGGACTTACTGACAAACTGATGCTCGATTATGGCATTCATGCTTTCTAGTAGCGACTGGAGCAAGTCGTGATTGCTTTCATTCGCGAGCAAGAAGCTCGGCGATGACATCGAGGAATATAGCTGGAGTAGCTTCCCGGAAGCTGACGCGCTCAAGTTTTCGAGGTAAGCGGCGATATTATTGATAACAGCTAGTAACGCCGGGTAAATTGCAGTCAATTTGCCTTGGCTGCTCGTGATGATGTTGTAGATGGACTGAGTGGTATTAGGATCGTCATTGAAAAACTTACAGTATGAGACTTACGTGTATTAGAAAGTCTGCATAGGTTCCGTTGAAGTTCTGCAAACGGATAGTGGGAGGGAGAGTCTCTTGAGCCTCAAATCTCTTATTGAGGTTCTTCCCAAAATTCGGCTCAACACTCAGTGTCTGGAGAAGAAAGATACACATTCTGACCACTCCTTGCTTCGAGGCATCTAGCTTGTACTCGATAGCATAGAAGAGGATCAGAATGAGGAAATCATGTGAGCGTCCAGTGTCGATAATGAAAGATCGAAAGCGTTTGTTGCACTGTGTGATCTCCCAGAAGAGCATGATCATTTCAGAGGTACACTTTGTGGACTGTTGGTTCCCTGGGATGTAGGAAGAGCTGGCGTTTAAAGGCTGGTTGAGGATTCTGGTCATTCCATCAACGATGAATTGGAAATCTTGGGGTCTATGTAGCCGTCCCAGAAAGTGTCGGAAGTAGTCTTTTTGCCATCCTGTCAGCATTGTCTCGACAAAGATTCTTCTTCAATTCCTCACTTTTCTTTGCATGTGCTGGGTCTCCCTCTGGTATAGGATACAGCAGTATTACTAGGAGGAACTGCAGCGCATATGTGACCAGTATTTGCTTCGGATCCTTGAACACTTGTACGTTGTAAGGTATCTTCCATGCCGCCGGGTTGTACTTCAGCGTCTACAGCGAAAGTCAGTACCGCTCAGCACCAAGACTCAACTCCTACTCACAGTATTCAACAAGGAACACAGCACCGACAATACAACTTGCTTATCCGGACAGGTGACAATGTAGCTGATCGCCTTGACGCCCTGCACCGGCAGCAGATTTGCAGATATATACATGCTTTGACTTGTTAAAGTCAACAACAACCGCAATATCTCCGTCCGATTACTCTCAAACTCCTTGCTGGTTCCGATGCTCGTATTGCAGCCCACCCCACTCTGCCATATCGCATAGGTGACTTTGCTCTTCGAGTTCTGCGGCCGCGGCAGCGTGAAGTCTGCGAAGAAGAGGAGGTCGATCAGGGTATCTATCAATTCCTCTGCCAGCGGCTTCACCTCCTCGAATTCCTCGCCTGCAGCCTCGAGTTTTTCGAGCTCCTCTTGCGACTCGTCGAAGAGCACATCCCGGGCAAGCGCCGCTTTCCTAGTCTCCTGTCAGCCCTGACCTCTGTTGCGCCCTTTACACACGCAATGCCTATGTAGCACACCTTGTCCGTTTCCTCCTCACGCCCCAGAAAAACTTGTCCTCCCATTCCTGCAGCTGCTCCGCCTCATAGACGTAAGGCAAGATCCTCGTCAAGATTCTTATACAGTTCAGCGCATCCCTTTCCGGCGCCAGCTCGGGGTCTGGAAATGAAGGGTGGTGCCGCAGTATGAGTAGCCGGCTGGTGATAGCCAGCACCAGCGTCTCTAGATTTTCTAGCGCCGTGTCGCGCGTCCGTCGGATATCATTAGGGGAGAAAAGTGAGAAGATATCTTCGGTGGATTCGGGGAGCTCCCAGAACTGGATTGGGGAGGCTTGTCAGTATGGGGAATCCCGGAGGAGAAGGCTTGCACACGTAGTAGAGGGGACATACAGAGGCCCAGTAGGGGTCGTCGGCGGGGATAACTTTGTCTTCAGAGAGGCGGAAGATACCCTTTTTGAATACGAGCTTCGAGTCGGAGGCCCCCATTCTGCGGGTTGGGTGGCATCTGGTAGGTACCTACCTGTGATGTGTCTATGGTTGTACCTTCGAAAGCTGAGGCTGAGATTCTAGATGTCGGCGCTGATTGACGAGCAAGGTACTTATCACCACGTGAAATACCGTGACCAGATTTGAAGCTCCAGCCGAGTAAATATAAGCCGTAAATACCTGAATTCCGAACCAGCTCAAAACATGTGTCACAATTACCACAAGATAATGCTTTGTTTCCAATATGCATTAGCGAAATCATTCTCGAATTACCAGGTTGCCTAATCAGCCCAGCGGAGGGGTATCTGCTCAATAATACAAGACTCCTTCAACAAACACCGCCTCATCCGGCTCAATCATCTCGTTAGTACAGCCGAGTGCTCCCAGAATTCCTTCTTCCCTTATCATAGAGCCACTTGCTGTTCAGAGCAATTCCTCCTCCAGTCTTGGTAGCCGGACTTGGCGAGCTAGGTGTATCAGGCAAGTTGATTCTCGAGCTAGACGGACCCAGAGGACTTTGAGAGCCATACGAGGCCCTTCTACTCCCACCCATTCCTCCCCCCATTACCTTCTGCAGCATCGTACTGGCGTTCGGAGAGAACAGATTGCCACCGTTGGGACTTCCCTTCCCTGACAGCGGAGAGTTCGAGTAGTTGCCTTTCGCAACAGGAGAGCCACTCAAAGGTGTTGGTGTGCGTGTGTATTTTGGCGGAGTGCTGTAGTGAGAGCCAGGTGTGAGAGGGACGGAGCTTGCTGGGATTCCGAGGAGCTTTCGTTGAGCGGGGGTCAACGGAATATCTTCGAACTTGTCGACTGCTACGAAGAGTGGCCGGCATGCGATGATGATGTTGAGGGCGAAAACCATTTGGAGCGCCCAGTATACCCAATTTGCATATGGGTAGAGAGCCTTGCCAGGGTAAAAGAGTCCCGGCATGCTGCACAACATATTAGCATCTGTACAGAGCTGGAGATCTGCACAACATACAATCTCCATACCATTCGCCCGAAGCTCAACGCTAATAGCCATCCCAGGAAGTTGTATGCAATCTTTACAGCATTGGCGGATGTGAAAGCCGCGGCCTTCTGTCTCCTCACAATCTCATCGTACTTGGGGTGCCTCCATGTGCCGGTGAGAGGAGTTGACGGAGCTGACTGTGCGACTGGCGTAGACGGGGGAACCGGCGTTGACATCGTGGTTTGATTTTACTAGGTTCTTCCTATGCGCTGTGTTCCTGGAGTGTAATTAGTTCTGCTTTGTTGATTTGAGTTTGTATGTCAATACAGGATTCGGTGACTTGCCTGGAAGCTCGACGCTGCACGCGGGTATTCCTCCTCTTATTGGAAGCTGTGGGTTAGTATAAGTATCACAATCGTCAAGCCGTTCTATCAATCACAGCATTGTTGTCGTCGTCGCTCGCAGGTCGTAGAAGGTGATCGTCGGCTTGGTCGTAATATTTGTTTTGACGATTCTCAACGGCGGAGCTTGAAAGCGCCCAGGCCGAGAATCCCTGCTGCTTTAGCGGCGGCTGCAATCCAAACGCAACGCCCCTCTTTAACGTGTCAGCCTCGACCTTCTAGTCTTCTTCAAAGCACTGCATATTCTCCTTCTTTGATCTTGACAAGAGATTCCGTACATCAATGAAGATATACAATCGGAACTGACTGATTCGAACATTCTGGCACTATGGGTTTCGATAATCTCATGGCGAAGCTGGACCAAACCATTACCAGCGTCCTCGGAGACTGGGACATCTACTCCACGGCCATCTTCGCGATAGTCGTATCAGCCTTCGTCTACCAGGTCTTGACATCTCGCGATCCAGATGCGCATCCAATGCTACTTGCCAGGCAATCTCAAGCTTCTCCAGTTAGACAAGAAGGGGAGTCTTCCGTCTATCGATCTCACTCGGCCCCTCATGGAATTCCGTTGAATTCCGGGCTGAATATCAAAGATCCAGGAGACTCGAAATGGTCTCGAGGCCGAGACGGGGACTTGCGAGATATCTGGAGAAGGGCTGTTGCTGGTGGTCTGGATTGGGAAGGAAAAGAGACTGGGGAAATAGGACGTATTCTGACTATTCTCGGCAAAGAGAAGGTTATTGAGCACAATCTGGGTAGGTGTTGTCATTGGTGTTGTTTATGTTGTGTAAGATGAGCAAGAACTGATAGTTCCAGCTGACATTACGCGTCAAATTAACTTGATCGGTCAAAAGATCAAGCAAGATGGAGGGAAGAATGTTGCTATCTACCTCCCAAACTCCATCGAGTTCCTCGCAGCAGTGTTTGCATGTGCCTTCTACGATCTGAACGTCACTTTAGTACCATATAATACACCCATCGAAACGATTGTGTCCTTTCTGCATAAATCGAAGGCGGATACGATCGTCGCGGCAGTCGGATCATTCCCATTCGATGCGATAACTAAGAGTTATCCAGCTCTTCAACAAATCATATGGGTAGTCGACGAGGGGAATAGACACATGGACTGGAATGAAGTCCCAACAGGCACTGGAGGAAAAATCGATGTTTCAACTTGGTCTGAGATCATCTCGGAGCAAGAACCAAGTGCAGGAACAGAGCTCCCGGCTGTTGAGCAGAAGTCTGAACCGAAGAAAGTGTTGGCATTCTGGCCCTCCGGAGAGCTTGTCGAGTTCACCCACGCAAATATCATCGCCGGAATCGCTGGCCAACTGACTTCGGTGCCGGCCAACCAACGCATTACCCATGCCGACCTGTTCCTTCCAGCCGACTCTCTTTCCACGATGTATACGCTGGTCTTGACTCTGGCTGCTCTTTACTCCAATGCAACTGTTGCTCTCAACTCGGTAGCTGGAGAAAGCCCCGATCTGGCTCTGGCAACACAAGGCATCGCGCCAACAATGATGGTTGCGTCCGCCAGTACCCTGGCCAGGACTCACGCGGAAACAGCAGGAAAGCTGAATTCTTCGTTCTACGGGATCGTTCATTGGTTTCAAACCCGTTCTCTCGTCCAAGAAGGCGTCATGCCCCTTGCATCAATATTTTCACGCGCTTTTGATCATCTGCGTCCTGCCATTGGCAAGACCCCAGGAAAGCTCCGCTTGATCTATGTATCGGAGCAGGCTGGCGTGAAGCCTACTCCGTTGAGCTCTCAAGTGCTGTCAGATCTACGGATCTATACTGGGTCTCGTATCATCTACGCTCTCACGTCCGCCAAGGTAGCTGGAGCCGTCACTCAGACCGGCCTTTATGACTACAGGGTTGAGAACGATCCTGGGGTTCATTCGCATTTTGGAGCTCCGGTGACGAGTGTCGAGGTGTTTTTCAAGGATAACAAGGAGCACAAGACGACAGATACGACTTCTGCTGGAGATGTAAGACGTCTGGTCCTACTACCAGTGTGTGCTAACGGTGCAATAGATCTTTGCTCGTGGTCCAGCTGTTGCTGGAGGAGAAGCACGGTTGGGTATCAGTGGAAAGATCCGAGAGGACCATACGTTGGCGCTGCTGTAACGAATTTAATGTATGAAGAAAGCGGCTGCGCGCTGATGAACGGAATGAATGCTATGTTTATATGCCACGAGATAGCGGCCATCGCTTCTCTCAATTTGGTAGAACCGTATCTAATTTTTAGCCATGGCTGGTTGTTCGGGGTCTGTGGACTCGTGCGGATGTCGGGATCCTCCAGGTCGATCCAGGATCAGCCACGTGATCTCTTGGCAGAAATCAGATGAGCAACATGGGCAGGGAAGGACTGCAGTCCTTACTCCGTAGATCTCCCCTTCTCGATCAGCCTCATCGCCGACCATCCCCTGCCGCGCCCATTCTCGTCACGATTGTTGAATTCTACTTCTCGTTCTCCCTCTTGCTACCATGGGCATGGGCGTTGTTTGAATCTGTTCTTTGTTTTATTATATGATACGCGGCGTCGGGAAGTCGGGACGTTACCCCTGAATCGCGGTACACACGTGACTTCCATCTCAAAAGACCCCATGCATTTGTCGCTTCTTGCTGCCCTCATCTTCTCCATCTTGTCCATCTTATCGGTAAACGCTCTGGATGAAGTCTTCCCGCACGTCAATTCAGAGTCCTTCGACCATGGCGCCTACGGGCCCTACCCGAATCGGTCTTACATCACTGAGCCAAAACTCACATCCCCTCGCCTCAACATCCAACAGTGGGATTCCAGATGCCACGATGGTCTCTACATCATGACATGTCTTCGCGGTGACGATGTGGACATCAAGGGCCAGAGTCCGATGATCCATGACACGAATGGCAGTTTGGTCTGGATGAATTCTACGTATGGGGAGACGTTTGGACATGGGGTGCAGAGGTATAAAGGGCAGGACTATCTGACTTTTTGGCAAGGAGATGATAGTGTGCATGGACATGGTGAAGGTATATATTTTATGGTGAGGAATCCATCGGGCCCTGCTCCCCTCACGATATAGAACCAGGTGATGAGAGACTGACGCATGTCCAGCTCGACTCCAATTACCGAGAAGCCTACAGATTCTCCGCCGGTAACGGGAGGTTAGGCGATCTCCACGAATTCCGTATCACGGAAGACGGAACTGCCTTGGTTACCCAGTATCGCTACGAGAAAGGCCAATGGGGCGACGAAAGCCCCAAGCCGCAAGGCTACATCTGGGACTCGGTCTTCCAAGAAATAGATATCGAGTCCAACACTGTATTATTCGAATGGCACGCCTACGATCACTTTGACATCAACACATCAGACTTTCCCTCCGGCTCAACAGGCCGAACGCAGTTCAGCGGCTACGACTTCTTCCACATCAACAGCGTGGACAAGGATGCGCTGGGGAACTATCTTTTGAGCTCCAGATATTACCAATGCGTGATTTATGTTGATGGGAAGACAAACGAGACGCTGTGGCAGCTTGGTGGGAAAGCGAATTCGTTTACGGATCTTTCGGGTGGCCAGGCTACCAAGTTTGGGTGGCAGCATGATGCGAGGTGGACTTCGGATCACAGCGGTATCACGCTCTTTGACAATGGGGCTCGCTATGATTTGAAGCCTGACGTGGATGCCTCGCGAGGCGTGCACATTGCGCTGGATCTCAAAGCCATGACTGCTGCGGTGAAGCAGTCATATGTCAATCCCAGGAACATCATCAGTGCTTCGCAAGGCTCGATGCAAACTCTGCCTAGCGGGAACGTCTTACTCGGCTATGGATATAATGCAGCGTGGACGGAATTTGCAGTCGACGGGGAAGCGCTATGTGACGTCCACATCGGCAGCCAAGACTCCTTCAACACAGGCGCAGTACAGACGTACAAAGTCCTCAAGCACGCGTGGGTCGGCCTTCCTCTTACTAAGCCCAAAGCCGAGTTCGTCGATGGCTGGGTACACATGAGTTGGAACGGTGCGACGGAAGTCAAGAAATGGATTGTACAGGGCGGAAACAGTACGCTGTTGGACTCGAAGTGGGCTCTCGGGGAATTGGAATTCGACAAGGCTGGGTTCGAGACGAGTGTGCGGATTGATTGTGCGAGGTGGCGCTTCATACGCGTGAGGGGCGTCAACGAGGAAGGGAGCGTGTTGGGGGAGAGCGAGCCGGTGCCTGTTGATTGTCAGGTGAGCCTCTCTTCTCTCCTGTCACCTTGATCAAGTTTTCGTATGGAAGGAAGGGGCTGACTTGACGCAACACAGTACGAACATCCTGGGATGCGGAAATTCACATACGTCGAGGAGAGACCGTTATCCTCCACCTGGGCCGGGAAAGTGCTCGAGATATCGATGGTAAGCATCGGCGGAGGTGCCGTGTACTCGCTCTGGCAATGGCGGCTCCGCAGAGATACGTATGCCGCGATTCAAGATCTGCGGGCCTGGGCTTGATCTGTTCGGGTCTGGCTCGTACCGGGCCACCCGATCCTTGAGCGGCCGGGCGCAGCAACTGGCACGGTGTCTGAGTCTCTGAGATTCCTGCCTTGGGGATCCCAGTCGACTACGGAGTATAGAGGTTAGCGCCGGGTACCTGAGACTCTCTGGGGAGCGGGCTCCAGGGCTCCAAAGCCAAAAGCTGTCGAAGCAGCAGCAACAACCACTTTGGGCCTCGTGCAAGCAGGGCGGTGTCTGTGCATATGTTTATTTACCCCTACGTAGTACTTTTAATAACCACCCCCCGGCCCGCCCTCTACCTTCGCTTGGGCCTTCGAAGGCTTCCCTTTCGCATTGCCTTCTTTTTCGTTTCCGTCCTTCTTTGCTCTCTGTTCGTGCGGTAAATAGGTCGTCATAGGGTTGTCATACCGGAGACTGGAGACTGCACGGTGCCTGGCGGGTCTACCGTACTTGTGCATCACCGTTGACAGCTACCGTTCCCTCTTGGCTCGAGCAATATCTATCTATCTCTGGGTGTGCCGTTTGCACTTGTCGTGCCGGTAATCGAGACGTCGGTGCCAACCCCGCGGGGGTGCTTATCGCTCTGGTGGCTACTTAATCTATTAAGGTGCGATAAGACATGGCTGACCAAGTGAATGCCAACGGTACCGGTACCTATTCGATAGGGCAGGGCCGCATCAGCTTAGAAAAGAGCCGAAGGTAATTAATGGTAGTACCGTACCGTACGTTGGTCATGCAGAGCAGTCGGTAAAGCCGACCCGGCCAGCACTGGGGGGAAGGGGGGGGGAGGGTGTCGGGGCGGTAAGTAAATAGTAGTACTCCGTAAGGTTAATAAGTAGTAAGTAATCTTGATTTAGTAGTAGTACGGTAGTACGGTAGTAGTACGTCGGGCGGGTATCCCAAGCGCAAGGTCCAAGCATAGGTAGGTACAGTATGGTACGGCGACGTGCTCCATAGGTAAGGTACGTAGCAGAATAGGTACAAGGCGGCCCCTCAAAAGCACTTCACCGAATCTGCGTCGGGTTCACCTCTCGAGGAGTGTCGCAATACATATATACATATGTATACCTAGCCCTACGGCCTACGGGAGCGGGGCCTCGATCCGTCCACGGCACAAACATCGTTCGTGCTCTCTTCCCTCTTGCCCTCCGTCGAGCTAGGTAAGGTAGGTAGGTACCGGTAGGTAGGTTGTGTTGTTTGCAAAAGCGCTCTCGGCGCAAAGGCGCCAGCCACAACTTCCGGAGGTCCCCCTTTCCCGTGTAAATTAATCAATCGGTCGATCGGATTCAGCCCCCTTTTTCTTTTTATCTTATCTCTTACACTCCCTCCCCTCCCCCCTCGCCCTCGCCCTCTTATCGCGAATCTCTCTCGTCTTTCGCCGTCGGTGTGCCCGTTTGGTATCCCGTCGATGAGGAGGTACCGGGACCGGTACCTCGTCGGCGTGGTGGTGGTGGTGGTCGCGATAAGAGGGCGGTGGTCCGGGAGCGCCGGCGAGGGAGAATCTTTGAGAGGGGAGGGAGGGGAGAGGAGGAGAGGAGAGGAGAGGCCGCGATGGGGATGGTTTGGTTTTTTTTTCTTTGGCTTTCTCGACTCTAGAGTCTAGACTCTAGACGCTGTGCCGCAGGACAGAGAGAGAGAGACAGAGAGAGAGAGGGAGATGAAGGTTTCGTAACGGGTTCATCGTACAGTAAGCGGATCAGATGGAAAAAAAAAAAAAAAGAAAAAGAATTGCAGCTTTCCGCGGAGAATAAATAGGGTTGTGTGTGTGATGGGGTACCTACCTATTGGAAAGTGGAATTTGGCCCTGTACGGCCGGCACAAGGTCTGCTTCTTGAACCACATCATTCATTCATTCATTCATTCATTCACCTTTACGCCGTATCTGTACGAGCTTCGGCGCGGCTGCCCCGTGAGGTCCGGCTGGGTCTCTGCTCTGCTCCGTCGGGGTGGACTGATAGCGTAGGGTAACTTGTACGTACAGTAGTATCTCCTTAAACAGCACTTCGTATTTGTGGTGAGCCGGCTTTGGGATCTTGGCGGTCGGTTGTCGATCAACATACTTCGTACTACTACTTCCGTACATGTATGTGCATGTGTGTGCATGTACGGTACTGGGTCCTCCGACTTTATTTTCTGCTCTGCTGTATGGAGAAGCTGGCTTGGCCTTTATCAGTCAGTACAGTACTGACTGAGGTGATCTTCGATGCACTTTTGTCTGAGCGACTCAGCATCCATCACGTCAATGAGGGGAGTGCAGCGCAGTCAGCTCTTGCATTGAATGCTACATACCTTACAGTACCGGTATGGAGCTGATCCGAGATCAGCGAGGTGGTGGCGTGTTACTACGTATTTCGACCAGGTCGCGCACCCCCATTGCCAAGGACCCCAGGAGTCTTTAATTCGGGAGTATTTACGGAGTATTGGACAGTGCGTGGCCGCGGAATTGCCCGTTAGACCTGCCAAGGCCCAACCGTAATTAGGTACTAGGTACGTACAGTCAGTAGTACAGGACGAAGTACTACTAGCACCTGTAACTTGCGCGGGTCACCTCGCCAGAGTCGCGCAGTCCATTGCGAAGTAAAGTTTAATCTTTGAGTACTGACTGAACAGTGCGTCTACTCCGTAAGTAGTAGTACTACTACGTACCGTAGTAATACCGGTAGGTAGCCTCTTCTCAAGGACAGAGTACCGTCTGGAAGAATTCGTTACCTCCCAGATGCCAGTATTAGCGTACCGGTACTGACCTGGATGCAAACCTCATCCTTTCGGCTTCCAATGAAACTTGTGCCTTGAATCAAGGAGAATGGATTGCACATTGCACTCAACCGCTCTCCCTCCCTCCTCCGTACGAGTAATCCGTACGAGTACTCCGTAAGTAGTACCGTAGTATGCAACGTGGTAGTACTGCGTACTACGTACAACGTACGTAAGGCCCGGAGCGGATCCACTTCTGCCGGCAAAAAGAAGAAAACAAGAAGATTACGATTTACCCCTTACCTATGCGTTGAGCTGTGCACCGAAAAGATCGATTGGAAAAAGCTTTCGGATGCGCGCGCTTCGACCTGCAAGCAGCAACGAGTTGTCAGTGGGTGGTCTGAGCAACGAGATCGAATGACTTATGCAGCGCATGGACCATTGTGTTTCACAGAATCCTTCCAGAAGTACGAGACCCTCCAGAGTGCATGTATTCCGGGATTGGCTTCGGAGGAAGTTCATGATACCTACCGTACCTACGTAGTACGTAGGACTTGGAGTACTACCACCACTTACGACGAGGGACTCCGTACGGGACCAAAGTGTATAAAATCTAAAATGTTAAACGAGCGAAGCGAAGAAGACTTCGAATCTTGGCATGGAGTGAGTTTGCAGATGCTATTCCAGGACTTCGACGGAGTGCTTCTACTTACGAAGTACTTCCTTCTACTTACTCCTTACTACTCGGTATACGGAGAGCGGAGTCCCTTGGTTCTAGGCCGAACGTACGGAGCATACTACTAGATCCTGTACCGTCCGTTTGGTTGACCGGCCGTACGCGCCAGCAGCGGATGTCGTACATGATTCAATTCGCTGCTGGTCGGAGGACTCTGCATGTCTCTCAAGTAAAGTATAAACTATCTTTGATCACGTACTACTACTTACGGAGTCACAGGTATTTTAAACTTCTCGTGCAGCTAGCATCTCTGCCCCTAGTCTAGGTGTATTATCAACCATCGTCTTAATAGTAAAGCCAAATTCACCTGGAGCCAGTTAGTCCGATGAAGAAGATCAACGCAGGGAGATGAATACTTATGCTGGCTGCACGAGTCTCTCGGAACGGTCATCGGTCCGTTGAAGGTTTACCGGAGAGCTCGTGGGGGTCCATACCTGAGGTACCTAAGTGCCGTAGCGAACTCCGCCGTACCGAGTAGGACAACAATGCGCGACTCACTCACTCCCCGCCCCTGCATTCCGAAGCACCCCCAGACTTTTCTTCTTGCACTTGCACTTGCACTTGCACTTGACCATCCGCCATACCTACCGATATTCTCCTCCACCGGCGTGATCCCAGGGCAGGGGTAAAAGGTGCATATGGCCCTTCATCTTCTTCTGAATGGTTGAATTAGACTCGACGCTAGAGAGGCGGTAGTCAGGGCAAGCGACTCTTACTCGGTATACTCCAGACTCCAGAAGTCAAGATATGGATCACCTGGGCCGGGGATGGCACGGCCGGAAGACATAGGTAGGTACTACTACCTACCGGTACCTACGTACTACGTAGGTCCTACGGTACTCTCCTTCTACAATTAGTCTCCTTCGCTTCTTAACTACCTTGTGAATCCGCTTCTGATCTTGTGTTGTGTCTCACCGCACTGTGTACTCCTCGGGCCTTCCTTTTTAATTACTGCCACCTTCTCGCAAGATGGTAGACTTCGCGGCAGCTATCCCGACCTTGGTGGGGAGCTATCTCTCCGCCATTGCGGCCGCATCAGTAATCATTTGTTACTTCGTTCTCTCACCGTCACAGAAACATTTCCGACACACGCTCATTCTGAATCTTGCGAGTGCTGGTGAGTGGAAAGACTAACCCCCCCCCCCCCCCCAACTTCAAAACTGCCGTTCTGATTCGGCTCACAAGATCTCATCAACGCGTTGAACAATAGCATCTCAGGCTCATATGTCATGGTACATAGACAGATTCCTGCTGGCAGGGCATGTACCATCAATGGTTGGGTGGGCCAACTGACGGTCCAGGTCGGTAGTCCCCGCCGCCCAGGTCAAGACGCGCTGGCTGATGCACAGGAGGCAACGGACTTCTCGATTCTTTTCATGACCATAGCTACAGTCGTCACGCTGAAGAAATGGAATTACGAGCCAAAGATAGGCCCGTTCGGCAAGCTGTTCTTGACGGTGGGTATCTGGCTCGTACCATCGGTGACCAGTACGTGCATCTACGCAGTCTCGGAAGCGTCTATTGTCTAACATGCCTTGAGGTTCGACGGGCTATTTTCTGGAGGGGTACAAGCCGGTCAAGGGCAACTGGTGCTGGCTGAGTGCCAGTCGGAACGACCTCCGCTACTCCCTTGGCCACGGCTGGCGGATTACCATCATCCTCACAGTCATTGCGCTCTACGTCTATCTATTTACCTTCATCCACCGCCACTTCACCGCCCTCCGCTCCATCTCGACTCCTGACAAGGGCGCGTCAGGTGGTGTGGGCGACCGGAGCAACCGTCAGGTCTCGGGAGCGGAGTCGGACAAGATACACATCCACAGTGAATTCGTGGTCTACGAAGAATTCGATGGTCCCCAGGTCTCCGTCACCGAGCTAGATCTCTTGGAATCCCCGGGGCTATCATCACAAACAACCTTAGGCCAAGTCATAGACTCCAAGGAGGAGCTGGTGTCCCCAATACGCGTCCGTGCATTCGAAGAACAGAAAGGCCCGACAGCAGGCATAACTGAGCTGCCTCTCAGCCCATTTCAGGCCATCCAGAACAACTTTCATCAGCAGAGCGCTGACCACACTATATTCACCAATGTCACTCACTTGAACCCCCACGAAATGGTTCCCTGCCTCAAGTCCCGCGATCCGCTCGCCATCGTTCGCCGCCCACCACCGGTCAACATGATTACCATCCAGAGTACGCATGCGGCCAAAGCTGCACTGTGGACACGCGAGAAGCAGATATATAAACTATTGCTGTTTAACGCGTACCCGATTGCGTACGTGCTGCTCTGGCTCCCGGGATTGGCAAATCGCTTGGCGGAGATGCTTGGAGAGAGAAGTCGCGAGTTGGTGATTCTTCAAGGCTCCACGCAGTATGTTGGGTGTAAGTTTCTGGGAGACCAGGTTCCCCCCTCCCCCCCCTTGCCGGATAGTCTCGAGGTTTTCGATGCTCAGAAATGGCTATATCTTTCCCGAAGCACATTCGAGTAGCTTAGGCTGACTTCTTTATGATCTAGTGGCTAATTCTTGTGAGCACTTTCTGTTTTTGCTTTCTTCCTCGTCCCGCTGATCAACATAACTTGAGCGGAGACAAGGCTCGCTACTTTCCTGACCATTTTACTGACTACTCAAAAAGTGGTATACTGGTACAACGAGCACATATGGACTCTCTCCAAAAACTGGTGGAAGAAGAGGAGAAGTCCAGAAGTGAAGGCTCCATTCGAATCCTGGGCTTCCGAAGACGCCGTGCCGCAGCGCTGGGCGTCAATATCGTCGATAACCCCCCTCGCGGAGCGACATCTAGGGCCGTCTTTTCCTAAACCAGCTGTTCTTCCACGACAAACGTCGATGGATTTCAGATGAAATTATTCTATTTCAATACTGATCAGTGATCATCTAACGTTACACCCGAGCGAGATTTTTTATTTTTTTACTTTTCATTCGGCAGCCCCTGACTCTATGCGACGCATCCCTGCAACTCCTTGCAAATCAATCTCCCCATCTCCTGAGATTATGTATGACGACAAATACCAAGTACCATCATTCCTGAATGCGTTTTGCATGATCCGCATCCCGACCTTCACGCAGTGTCTCTGGGCCGGGCATATCTCCATATATTGGAAGGGGGACAATGTGGCGGAGAGGATGGAATTCAATTTTCGCCGTCGCCCTCATATACTCCTGACTCCGTTCTACACGTGAACGTGTTTTTGCTATGTTCTCCGATGATACCTACCTATCGATTTTGGGGGGGAAGCTCGAATAGAGATGAGTATTATCGTGCATTTAAAATCCGCTGGCTCAGTGCTCACCATGGTGGAGATGCGACCAACTCCCGTGAGTTTCCCCCCCCCCCGAAACCCTCCCTGCCTCTCTTCTCGAGTCTGACCTTCAACCTAGCCCAGCACTCCATGCTCGCCATCCCCCGAGACCACCTGGCCGTCTCTACCTCTCCTCACACCACCAGACTCGCCGACCATTCCAGCCCCCCGATTCACGTCTGGACAACCGTTCGCTCTACTTCCGTCACAACCGTCCGGCGTTTCCCGGCGCAAACAACGGAGCAATACCTGCCCACGACTTGCCTTGTTTCCTACGGTCCCTTCGCCGGATCGGGGTCGCCTCGGTGCTGATGCGGAACCGACGAAGGAGGAAGAGGAGGCCGCCTTGTCGCTGTGGCCGTCGCCGCCTTCTCACCCTCCAGGGCCCCCTCCGGGGCTCCCTCCAGGGGAAGAGCTCTCCATCAAAGAACACTCCATCCGAGTCCGGGAGCGGATGATGATGATCTACGCCTCAGATAACGAGAGCGAGGGCGAAGTCCCAGAGCCAGCGGCGGTCGATGACCGGAGGATGGCGAACTGGTGGTTCTTCTTCTGTTTTCGCTAGGGCTGTTTGTTGAATCATTTATTTATTGATTGGCTGGATTTCCGAAAGGATGGCTTGAGACGGGACGAAGACGAGACAGCGCCCCGCGGTTTGTGGGCTTCCGGGGCAGCTTTCGGATCCTGAAATTGATGGATGAACGTGACAAGGAATGGCTGGCTGGGCTGTGTCTTGTACTCCCAGGGACGAGGGTGCGTGTGTGAGAGAGAGAGGGGCATGAATGAAAGAGTCCATGACGGATACGAGAAAAAAAAATAACAGAATATATAACGGTCTAGATCTAGGCACAGGAATCAGATATCCCCCCCCCCCTTTCTTTGCGAGTACAAAATCGAGATTCTTCAAGCGAGCAAGCGAGACGAGATTCAATAACGGTCCCCCCCCACTTTTCTTTCCCCCCGCCTTTTTCCCCCCCGAAAAGACGTAATCAACGTACCACGTAGGTATGAATAAGGGGCACGGTGTGGAAAACAGATCTGCTCTATATCTCTTGGTTCATCGTAATAGTAATTGCTACAGTACAAAAGAATTTTTAATAGGTTCGAAAAAAATCCGCATCCGCTTCCGATCCGCAATCGCTTACGCCGATTAAGACTGAAAGGATGTAAGGAGGCCCAGTTAAGCGAGCCGACGATTAAGGGG